ACATCCCATAGGGTAATTTTCTTGGAATAAGACAGGCTAGAGTCTGTAAAGGCTAAACCTGTAGTTTCTCATCTCCAGGCCTTTGCATGGCCTCCTGACTTTTAATGCCCTCCTTTCCAGGTTTGGCTGGTTCTTTTTCTAATTTAGGTCTTGGCCCAAATGGTTTCTCTTCACAGAGGCTTTCTTGATCACTGAATTTGAAATCTTCCTCTTTTGTAGTCTTTCATCGAGCATCTCCACTCACTATCAGGTTGAGTAGTTTTATACCTTCCATTATTCTTATCACCACATAACATGAATTGGGGGAGAGGTTTGGAGACAGAATCTCACTATGTTGCCCTCAGTAGAGTGCTGTGGTGTCATAGTTCACAGCAACCTCCAACTCTTGGGCTTAAGTGATTCTCTTGCCTCAGCCTCCCAAGTAGCTTGGACTACAGGTGCCTACCACAATGCCTGGCTATTTTTAGAGATGTAGTCTCACTCTGGCTCAGGCTGGTCTGAAACCTGTAAACTCAGGCAACCCACCCATCTCTGCCTCCCAGAGTACTGGGATTACAGGGGTGAGCCAACATGCCCACCCAGCAACATGATCTTTTTTTTTTTTTTCTATTGAGACAGAATCTTACTCTTGCTCAGGCTAGAGTTCCATGGTGTCAGCTTAGCTCACAACAACCTCAAACTCTTGGGCTCAAGTTATTCTTTTGCCTCAGCCTCCCAAGTAGCTAGGACAACAGGTGCCCACCAAAACACCTGGCTAATTTTTCTGCTTTTAGCAGAGATGGGGGTCTTACTCTTTCTCTAGCTGGTCTTGAACTCTTGAGCTCCAGGGGTCCTCCTGCCTTGGCCTCCCAGAATGCTAACATTACAGGTGTGAGCCATCATGCCTGGCCTACATAACATAATCTTGTTAGTCATTCATCTGTCTTCTTTAGAGAAGGTTCTATTCATATCTCTTTCCCAGTGGTATATGGGATTTTTCAGTCTTTTTTTGTTGATTAATTTGAGTTCTTTGTAGATCCTAGTTATCAAGCTTCTGTCTGATTCCCAATATGCAAATATCTTTTCCCATTCTGAAGGTTGTCTGTTTGCTTTGGTTGTTGTTTCCTTAGCTGTACAGAAGATTTTCATTTTAATTAAGTCCCATTTCTTTATTTTTTTCATTGTTGCAATTGCCACAGAAGTCTTCTTTATAAAATCTTTTCCCAAGCTGATTCCTTCAAGTATTTTCCCCATACTTTTTTGAGGATTTTTATTGTTTCATGCCTTAGATTTAAATCTTTTATCCATCTTGAATCAATTTCTGTAAGTGGTGAGAGATGTGAGAGAGTTTCAGTCTTTTACATGTGGTTATGCAGTTCTCCCAACACATTTATTGAATAGGGATTCTTTTCCCCAGTGTATGTTCTTATTTAGTTTATCAAAAATCAGGTAGGTGTTAGACGTTAGTTTCATCTTATGGTTTTCTATTCAGTTTCAAATGTCAATGTCACTGTTTTCATGCCAATACCATGCTGTTTTGGAGGGGTCTTTTTGCAGTTTTTGGCCGGGGCCGGGTTTGAACCCACCACCTCCAGTATATGGGGCCAGCTCCCCACTCCTTTGAGCCACAGGCGCTGCCCAATACCATGCTGTTTTGATCAGTATGGCCTTGTAGCATAGCATCATAAGAATGGAGAAGCAAGAATCCAATGTACTCAATTCTAATATGAAGGCAGTAAATGAGCTAATACTGGCCCTCCTCTGCCTTGTATTCCCCATAGGGGAATGAGCAAGTGGGGTGAGGGTAAGAAGGAGAGGGATTGGGGTCGGGGTATATGACTCACCTCTTGGGACTGGGACACAATTGTAAGAGGGACTTTATCTAACATAGACAATCAGTATAACTTAATTCTTCATACTCTCAATGAATCTCAAACAATAAAAATAAAATTATAAAACAAAAGCAAAAACAAAAACAAAACATGACCCTGCCTATGTATTTCTTTTGTTTATTGACTATAACTGTCTTCCCAAATGAAAATATGAGAACACGGCTTTTCCTGTTGCTGTGGTACTTTGCACAGTGCCTGGCATGGTGCAGGTGAACACATGCATGAAGTCACCTTGTAAAGGAGTTTGCTCCAACATCATTATTATCACATGGGCTAGGACCCCTCAGGATGGTCTCAGCTGTCATTAAGCAGACAATGGTTCTCACTACACAGAAGTTCAAATGCACATGTGAGATGATGTACTTGATACAAGTTGCACGTGCTGTGACCCAGATCACACCTTTCCATCATATCAGTAGAACAGGTGGCTAATTTTATCATCATAATTGTTAGTGATTTTCACTGGGCAAGAAAGGAACCAGCCAAGTGATTTTATTATGTAGCCTACAAATTTTGGAAAACACTGTGGTAAAACAATAGAGTTTTTGGTTTTGTTTTTTTTCTTAAGAACATAAAAGTGATACAGAAGCATGATAAATTTTCACAAAATTTGTTTCTGGAGGAACAGTTAGTCAACTTTTCTTTGATTTCCTTGAGGGGGACTGTGCCCTAAACCCTGAAATGAGGATAGTGTTGAGGGGAAGATGTCCTATTTTTCTCTGTGGGGCTCCCTGAACTCTATGAGGAAGGATGATGTAACTGATGATAGGGTGAGGTCAGGAGCGGCTCACTGCCTCGTGGCTTTACAGTGGGTGGAACGACCACACATAGCCTCTTTCTGGCCTTCCACAACAGGTGTGATGTTGTCCATGATGCTCCATGTGGTTGTGTGGATAAGAGACCTTGGAAGATTCTGACTTTCCCAGGATAGGCCCTCAGGTCTGGATTTGGGGAAAGTGTAGGAGGGAATATTAGAAATATTATGGAGCTTTTCTACTGCTTGTATTCAGTCAATACCAGAGAGTGCTAAATACATTCGGTAGTTTATTTTGATCCCTATCTAGCTTCCTTTGTCTGTTTTTCAAACTCCACGTAACTCACAGGATAAAGAATGAGAAAGTAGGTTTTCCACAACCTCCAACTCTAAGAATTCCACTTCCTTCTACAAAGTTGCTTTGGTCTCTTCGGTGAAGAACAATTTAGAGACTATCAGAATTACGTGTTACCATCATTAAAAAAAAAAAAACTTAGAACAATAATTTATTTAAGTAAATTGTACATGTAAAATTTAAAAATGACTTTTTCACTACAAATGGTAGTTTGTTTCCACAAACGGAAGTGACATTTAAACGTTTTCCATAGCTCAGTGTAGTTCTACCATATGGAATCTGAAGCCAGGCTCAGGAATAGGCTGAATTTGACTAGAATCAGCAAAGAGTTAATGAAGAAATAAGTCTGGCTGTCGACTACTAAGTAATACAGTTTTTTTTTTAATTTTTACTAATTCTATATTCTTCTGCAATGAAATGAAGAGTGCTTGTGATAGTCATTGGGTTTCTATAATTTGCTTAGAAACTGACATCAAAATGCTAATTCATAGGTGCTATAAAGGTTTCCATTTATCTAGAAACGTAATCTTCATTATAACCATTTGATGTTGCTTAAATAGACATGGAAAGTAAAATAGAATTGCTTTTTTAAATTTTCACTTTAATTTGACCTCATACTAAACTCTAAGGACTCTTAACGATCTCCTCTGACTACAATTCCGATTTAAAGAATGGACCCATATACTTTGATATCTAGGAACGTAACTGTTACGGGCCTATTGTAAGTTGACAGTAAACTCTTCTGTGTATGAAGATGCTCAAGAAAGAGCACCTCTTAACCAACAGAAGTTCAATTCCAGTAACAGATTACAAAGGAGAGGAAAGCGCCAAGTACTTCCTTGTTTTCAAAAAATCTTCTACATTTCAGGAATGGAATTTACCAAGAGTTGTCTTATATTTTGGAAAGAGAAAGCTTTTTATCCAAATCTCCATCTTGATTATTTCAGTCTGTGGTAGACTTTATACACCCTTTAACCCTTCTCTTCTCCTGACTATGATATCCAAGAGGACTGGTAAATAATGGCGCAGAGCTGTGTCTTTCATTTTCCTTGACTTACAGGATCAGAAGTTAAAACTTACCCATTTTGTGATCCAACCAATTTTCTTTGGTTTAACACCAAGACTAATGCATTCCCTTCTTAGGCTTTTCCAGTGTATCTGAACTCAGTGTTTTAGTCATTCATGTAAAACCTTTCATGCTGGTTTTATGTTTGAAAATAGGTCCCAGCTGCTCTTGGTTTTTTAATCCTTTCTAGAAAGGCATATGTGACAGCATCTCCCCCAGGGAGATTGCAGCTCTAAAGCTTTCTCTCCTAGGTAGGGAAAGTACGAAGCCAGACACTATTATCATGCTTACTTCCCCAGCTGGCTAATTAGATCAATATATATTTTATATTTTGATGAATAGACAGGCATATATATAGGATAGTGTGTGTGTGTGTGTATATAGAGAGAGAGTAAGAGATATTATGGAAAATATTATTTAGTTGGTATTTTTGAAACTTCTCTAGCATGTAGTAAGGGTTCAATAAATGTTCAATAAATAAATGAATATGTGAAGAAATAAAGGTAGGTATTAGGTATCCAACACAGGGAATTTTCTGAATAAGTTTAAATATTTCACCACATTATATATTTTTTAAAAGTTGGAAGCTCAGCATTTGATTTGCATATTAAAAACATCCATTTGAAGTTCTAAACACTGTAGGTTTGTACTCTAGCTTCTCATAAATTATGTAAACTTAGTTTTGAATCTGTTCCCTAATAATGGTTAAATTATTTTCTCTTATCTATATGCGATGTTACTAAATCACTCACTTTTACATTTAGAAAATATAAGCCAAAAAATTCAGGGGACAAAGTTTTAATTTGTATACATGCTTATACATGCATTATAACATTTTGTTCCTGAGTCAAGTTATAATAACAGCCTTTATTTTTGCATTACATAGTATGTCAGTGATATATAGCAATAGACATTTTATACTCAGAGTGGATACTTAACAGTCTTTTTTTCTCATGTCAAATGGGTAGTGTGCTGAGATCCTAATAAGGTTTGCGGGAGATACGTGTCACACATGAGTGTAAAAACCCAATCATCACCCTTATGAACCACAAAAGGCTCTGCTTATATTCCTTACGCTTATTTCTTATAATGAATAATGCATTCAAATTATATTCTTAAAGCTTAAGTTAAGGTAACATTGAGACTGGCCAGAGCTACTAAAATTATGATCGTGAATGAAATTTATCACAGTGTAGATAAGGCAAGCATCCTGAAGCTTTAAATCTACTTCTGAAACAATGGCAAGTAGGCATTTCGCCAGTGCTAATTTGTCTTACTCTATTGATTCAAGCTTTGGGCATTCTATTGTCTCTTCCAGGGAGCACATAAGTGGAATACAGAATGGGGAGGTCCTATTAAGGATAATGCCAGACGCGTGAATCATGCCGCATACTACTTGTGCTGCTTAGACAATGCAGAACCTAAAGCAGCTTTTCAAAATATCTCGGTAACAGATATATCTCCCTGTATAGAGAAGTTGAAACTTGTTTTATATAATGGCTCCTTGGTACAATTACAATAAAATGTTTTCAAATGTACTACTTCAAATATATTCCTGCATTACTGAAGACATTTTCCCCCAGTCGACAAAATCTCAAAACTTAGTCAATCTTTCTCTTAACATCTTGAATGACTAAAGGATGCTTCTCCTCATTACTGCCTACTGCCGGCTGCCTGCCTCTAATTGCACACCCTCTTTGAACACATTATTGAGTGAGGATGAAAAAAGGGGAGTGCATTACATCTATGCAGTAAAAGCATCAGAATATTATACGTTCAAGGGAGAAGAAGAAATTTTTGAAGACAAATGGAATGGTGATGTCATTTTTCATCCTTATTACGGGTTAACCATAATAGTCACGGTGTGTCCACGACCGTCTGAGCAACTGATTTACATTTCTCCTTCACTGCACCTCTAGCCTGGGTTGAATGTCATAAAGGGTATTTGTCCAGTTCATTGCTCTCAGGAGAGTCAGCTTTCTATTTCCTCTGTAGTTAGAAACCCCACCTCTTGCTTTCCTACATTAACATCATCTATTAGGGGTCACTACAAAGCCTTCAAATACAGTGCTTTGCAGAAGAGTGTTTTGGATACACTGTTCTGAGAATTTAGAAGAGGGTAACCCTATGTACCCTGTTCAAAAATCTGCAGTTGTTGCATAACACAGCCTCTGATCACTGTTTTATGTTAGTGGACCTTAGACAAGAAGGGAAGATAAGCTGCCTCCCTGACCTCTAACTTCTTTGTGTGTTTTAAAAGTAGCTTAAGTGAGGGGGGGCCGTTGGTTAGGAGGACAGAGTGAATAGAACAGCAGGGCGGCACCAGAGCTGGGGATGCGCCTCACAGCATATCAGTGGGGTTGAAAACAGGCACCACTGCTTCATCGGAAGGAAAACAGGAGAGCCTAAAGAAAGGGGATTCACTGAGAGGCATATGTTGCTATTCTTTAATTTCTTAAAATGTAAATAGATTTTTGTTTTAAATGGATCACCAGGCAGGTGAGAGAAGCCTGTTAAAGCGATCCCCCTTTTCTTCCTTATTAAGATGAAGCGATGAGCCATTCTCCTCTTCTTGCCAGATTTATCCTTTTGCCTAAAGAGCAGCTCTGCTTGGATTCTTATCGGCTTGTTGGGTCTCCCCTTACTAACGGAAGAAGTTTTCTTGTGGTACACGGGGTAAACCGTAAGCTTAAAAACATTAAACTGTTAAGAAAGTGTAAACTGTAGTTTAGCTTTAACCAAAGCATAGGGTTACTTTGACTCATCTATTTTGAGTAGGCAGTACCGTCAGGTCAATACTAAGGACAGCTAGTACTATAAAAACTGAAGAGCAGTGAACAGAAAGGGAAGAACAACCTGGAAATTCACTAATTGACTGTATCATTGTAAAAGGCTGTTACATCCTACAGTGGTAGAACCAGGTCACATGGTTTGACCCACTGATTGTATAGAAATAAGGCCTGGTGTCAGGGCGATGAAGGGGCCTCTACTCAAACCGAGTGAGCCGGCTGTTGGAGGCTGGGCAGGCAGGGCACTGCTCTCTCCTCAGTGCCAGCTCAGTGCTGATAGGAGCAAAATGGGACCAGCCTTCAAGGAAAGCCAAAGGCCAGATTTTAGTGTGAGAGCTCCCCACTCAAGAATATTAACAACTATATAATTCAAAATTTTTGGAACATAAGGCCATGCAGTGTATGTCTGTGGGTCTCCAGCGTGTAACCTCTGGATTAAGACACATGACATAGACCACACAATTATTCTTGAACAACTATAAAAACCAATAAAGATGAGCTAAAAAATTATGATTCAATGAGACATCATTGAGTGTTTGCTCTGAGTAATGCAGTTTTATTTGATGCTATAACAGATGGAATAAATAATGTCATGTCTTCTAGGAGGTTATGATTTAGTTAGGGAGAAGAACACAAGCGTTCACAAAGTAACCAGAAGACAGTATTAAATACATGCATCGTGACTTTGAGATGAGTATTCATCTTGCCTACACTTCAGAGAAAGGCCAGAAGCATTCATCAAATGCTCTGTGGTTTTATGGATGTCATCTTTAATGGTGTGAACGGTGAAGGTCTGGTCTGCTGCACTTTCCACAATACATGGACATTCACTACCCAGTATGGATACCCAGGGTCCACCATGCGTCTGTTCTGAACCCACATATTGAGAGGTCTAGACTCATGTCCAGCCCTCTCACCAGATGAAACTCTTGAATTATTTTGTCTCCTAAACATTTTTCCTTCCTCTGTCATTTATCATACTTTAATACTCGAGTAACAGAAAAAAATCAATTAAAGTTGGAGACTATAAAGAAACTTATTACGTAACATCCTGATCACGGATCGTGAAGGGTACAAGGTGGTTTGATTCAGCAGCCTGGTGACGTTGCTGTAGTCACGTTTTTTTCACCGTTTTCTTCTTTCGTTCTAATTGACTTTGCTCTCAGACTGGCCTCTCTCATGTTCATAAGGGGTCTACAGGTATCACATCCGAATGGTGTCTGGAGGAAGAGGGGACTGTTTCTTCCTGTGTCTGTCTTATGCCTAGGAAGCCTCTCATGGAAGCTCTCTAACACATTTTGCCTCAAGTTTCACTGGTCAGGTTGGAATCACAGATCTATTCTTGAATTAGTCACCAGTAAATGGAATGGGATTATCATAATAGACTCAGACTTTTCAACAGGGAAGGAGCAGTGCTTCAGGTGGGACAATTCGAATCTTTGTTTTGTGAGACTGGCCCAGACATCTCAGATGTGTATCATTCTGGGACTCTGAGTGGAAAACACTGATGATCACTAGTGCTCCATCACTAGGAAAACTGGAAACTCCCCACTGGATATTTCCCAAGAGCTCACTGGGGGAGGGAGCACTCTCTAGTTTAGACGACTGGCTTCAGTTTAGTCATTTTTAAAGAACGGATCGAGGGAATAAAAGACAAAGATGGAGATGCTTCCCCTCATGTTTCCCCATTTGGGTTATGTGAGCCAGAAACTCAAGTAGCACCCTGCACACAGGCCTCTTGTTCACTCACACATTTAATAGTGATCAGGTCTGCCAAGACACACCTTAATTCTCTCCACGTCTCTTCATCTCCTTGGTCCTCGCCATAACTCAGGTCACCATCATCTCTGACTCGGACAGTTGTTCCAGTTTCCTAACTGGCCTCTCTGCTTACATTCTTGCCTCTTATGCTCCCAATGGCAGCAAATATGATCTTAAAATATATTCAATATATGTAACTCCATTAGAAATTATTTAAGGAATTACTATTGAACTTAATAATGATTTGTTTACTTTTCCCCCTTTTCACTTGAGTTCCATGAGAACAGCCATGTTTTATGATAGATTGGGTTATTTTCCCAAATGCTTTCCTTCTTCCTTATGTAAGAATTATACATCTATGCCTTATGCCATGTGACCTCTTAGCTGCTCCCACTAGAGTAGGCACATTTCATTTCCGTATTAGCTCATGTTGGGTTTGACCATATGCCTTTCATTGACCAATGAGAAGTGGTGGAGGTGACTATTTCTAGACCAGGCTGTGAGACACGCCTGTGAGATATGTCCCTCTTGCAGTCTTCTGTGTGAAGATTGTGCTACGGATGGCTTCAGGTTTCAGGATGAAAATGCTTGGTGCAAACCAGAATTCAGCACAGCCAACCTGGACTCTGGCCCAGTTGTACCCCAATTGAACTACTGATCTGCAAACCTGTAAATAAGAAAAAAAAATAGTATTTGCTCTTTTAAGTTGTTGAGATTTTGAATTTTGTTTATACAGAATTATTTCAGCAATAGTTGGCTAATTATAATTAATAATGATTAGCAATCATTGAATAACTTATTCAGGGTTTCAGGTTACTATTCTGGCACACACAGTGATTATTATTATTATTTGTTTTATTTATTTATTTTTTGATACAGAGTCTCACTTTGTCACCCTGGGTGGAATGCCATAGCATTATAGCTCACAGCAACCTCAAACTCTTTGGCTCAAGCCATCCTTTTGCCTCATTTTTTTTTTTTAGTAGAGACAGGGTCTGTCTCTTGTTTAGGCTGTTCTCAAACTCTTGAGCTCAAGCAGTCTACTCACCTCAGCCTCCCAGAGTGCTAGGATTATAGGCATGAGCCACCATGCCTGGCCACACAGAGGGATTACATCAATATTTGTCAAATAAATAAAGATATACATGGTTTTATCAATTTTACAATAGGTGAATACATTTGAACTTATTTGAATTATTTCTTCTTATTTGCTCTTGAATTAGGCCACGTGGCATTTCTCTAAAAATGTTAGGGTTGATCCTACTGATCCTTTGGAAAATGATCTCTTAAGACTTTCTTGAATTAAAGTTCACACTTTCAGGTCTATTATCTCACTGTCAGTCAGATAAGGGATGCAGCTTTCTTAGAGCTGTGTGCAAGTCTGAGAATTGGGTTGCTCTGCACTAACCTATTCTGTCTTGGAGTTACACAACTTAGCATGCCTGTTTCCTAGCACAAACTCTATACCCCAGTGCTGACTTTGGAAGCACTATCCATTGACTTTAAAG